CTTATCTGACTCAAACCAATCACGAGAGGATAAGGTCAAACCCATCCTGGATACTCCTCCCCCCTCACTATGGAGAATGAAAGAAACTCTGGATTGATTAAGTTTCTCACCAAGGAAATATTCAGAAAATTCATTGGGCTGGTTTAATTGAAGTCTATCCCAACCATGAAGACAATTTTCTCCCTTAAAATAATAATTTTGAGATTCACAAATTTACACAGGTGGTCCTTCATTTACGATCGCTCACTTAACGAACATTCAAAGTTATAACACCCACACACCCCACACAAAAGATACTTAAAGTTACAATAGGCAAGCACACCACGTGTTCATGTGATAGTATTTGGAGTGCTTGGAAACCAGTTCATATTTACAGTCATTTGCACACCATCTGATGACTGCAATTTGCAATTGTTTTGCTGGCAAAAAAAAAATGCCCATTGAGGATAAATTCTTTTAGCAAACACCACAAAAAAGGTAAAAAACAAACAAACAAACCAGGTCTGGTTAGCTGATGCCTCAACTTATGACCATAACTCCAGGCTCAATTATAGTCATAAGTCAAGGACTACTTGTACATTCTTTTCAGCTTTGCTGTGATTTTTTGTTTTTGTTTTTGAGTGCTCAGATTTTCCATTGGGATAGTTCTGCATGTTTGTTTGGTTTGTTTGTTAGATTTATAATGATCTCACTATCCAAAGGAACTCTAGTTGAAGATTAGTTTAGGGTTACCCTTTTCAAAGGAAAACTTTCCAATGTAAGTCAATCGCCTAATAATGCTATCTGAAGGTTGGACAGTTGCTATTATGAGCCTCAATCCTGCTATCTGAATAGTTGTCTAAACGGTACCTTAGAAACGGCAATTTCTGCGTCATTCACATAAATTATCCTAAGTGGGGAAAGGGCCTCTACAACCCAAGGATACGTCTGTCAGCCACCGACTGTGAAAATCCAGCCCCAATTTGTGGCCTCTTACCTGTCCAGCTGAATATGCAAAGCCTTTTTTGCAAAACTGCAGAGCTTGTCACTGTTGTCCCTTGTAATTCCACAAATGGCATTTTCACCTGTAATGCAATAGCAGGCGATTATTACTAAGAAGGGAGTCACAGCCAAGGACAGGCTTCCGTGACATTCACTTCTCCTTTGCAGACATTCATCCAAACTGTATATTGGCCACCTTAACAGTACATGAGGTCCAAATGCTATGGATGATTAGATAAATTCTGATCACAGTGGAGACAGAGCACAGAGCAAATCAACTAGTGGAACACCTTGCCCTTTAGAAGTGGTGAGCGCACTGGAAGTCTCTAAGAAGACATTGGACAGCCATTTGTCTAGAATGGTGTAGGGCCATGATGGCAAACCTATGGCATGCGTGCCAGAGGTGGCACACAGAGCCTTCTCTGTGGGCATGCGCCCCTCATCAGCTGTTCTTCTGGTTTCTGAGGCCCGCAAGCATGCCGGCCAGCTGGTCTTTGCACATGCCGGACTGCCGGAAACCCGAAGACCATGTGGCCGGTGCACAAGTGCATCATCTAGTCAAGTGTCTTGAGTCAGAATATAGAAAACAGGTACATGTAGGTATACTGTATATAACTGTTGGGCTGCACTATAAAACAGTGATGGCAAACCTTTTCAGCACCGAGTGCCCAAACCAGAATGCGCACATGCATGCCAGAAACTTGAAGATCAGCTCGCTGATGCGCATGTGTGCGCTGGTTTTTGGGTTTCTGGGACTCCGGCATGCATGAAGACCAGCTTGTTTGCGCACATGCATGCCAGAAACTTGAAGATCAGCTCGCTGATGCGCATGTGTGCGCTGGTTTTTGGGTTTCTGGGACTCCGGCATGCATGAAGACCAGCTTGTTTGCGCACATGCATGTGCCAGAACCCAAAAACTAGGTGGCCGGAAAACACATGTGCACCGGCCAGCTGGTCTTCAGGTTTCTCGTGAGCATGTGTGCATGCACATTCCGGTTTGGGCACTTGATGCCGAAAAGGTTCGCCATCACTGGTGTAAGGCAAGGGTGTCAAACTCAATTTCATTGAGGGCCACATCAGGGTTGTGTGTGACCTGGGAGGGAGGGGTGGCCAGGGTGGGCATGGCCATCTCGACATCACTCATGTCGGGGGCGCCTGTGGCACCTGAGCTCCGTTTTCAGCTGTGACGGCCTCCTGCGACCCTCTGCCAGTGAAAATGAAACTCAAAAGGGCCACATTCCATTTTTGCTGGCAGAGGCACTGTGAGCTGGTCCTTCCCTGTTTCCAGGGCGGTCCCTGTGCTATATCTAAGCACCTGGTGGGCCAAATCCGGCCGCTGGGCCTTGAGTTTCATACCCCTGGTGTAGGGTCTCCTGCTTGTGCATTGGGTTGGATTAGAAGATTCCAAAGTCCCTTCCAACTCTGTTATTCTGTTATTAATTCTGCTTTACTGGTGGCTGGTTTTTAGGACTTTTGAAGAACTCTTTTGGGAGGTTACAATTCTGATTCCATGGGCTCATATGGGTGATTACCAATTTCTTCCCCCTCTACAAAACCTGGGTTGATGTTTTGCTCCTACATCTCTCTCTACACTTCTTGACGTAGCTGAAGGAAGGAAAAGAAAATATGTGCCAGTGTCTTACGATGTCCTCTGCCTTGCCATAAAGAGCAGGGTGAGGCTGTTTCTCTCACCCAACGATCCACAATTTTCTTTTAAGGCTGTCAAGCTTAGGAAGCTGCTGCTCTACATCCAAAAACCAGAGGTTTCTCAATCGTTTTTTTCATTCCTCCCTTCTATCTTCTGCCACCATTTTCCAAACAATTCAGAAAGATTTGAGAAAGGGGAAGAATTTATGGCATAGTTGGTGAACCTTTTTGGTGCTGAGTGCCGAAATGGAAACGCAGGTGCACATGCCGGAAACCAGAAAAGCAGCCATCATGATGTGCATACATGCGCTGAGCGGCTGCACTCCCAGCTTCCTGCACACGCATGCGCACCTGCCACCTGGTCTTCCAGTTTCTGGCATGCATGTGCGCATGAAGACTGGCTGGCTAGTGCACATGCACGCACAGGATACCGGAAGAGCAGCTGCCCAGTACGCATGCATAGGTGTCCTGAGAGCACCAAAGACTTCACAAAAGCAGGGTTTTTTTGCCAAATGAAAACTTCCAGTCTTTATTTAATCATCTAGGGCAGTGATGGCAAACCTTTTTGTCGCCGCATGCCGAAAGTGTGCACACACGTGCAATCATATGCGTGCGTGCCCACACCCATAATGCAATGCACACGTGACACCCCACATACACTCCCTGCCCCCCTGTGCATGCACGTGCAACACACACGCCCGTGCATGTGTGCATGACCCTATTGCCCTGTTTTGGGCCTAGCAGACCTCCCTGCAGCCTCCTGGGACCTAAAACGGGATGGGGGACATGCTCCCCCTGCCCCCTGTGCATGCATGCATGCCTCCACATGTGCCTCACCCCCTGCATGCGCGGCTCACATATGCATCCCCATCCCCCACGCATGCGTGGCAGAGACCCGAAAATCAGCTGGCTGGTGAGAGGTGTGTGTGCGTGCATGTGTGGTAGAGCTGCCTGGGGCGACGGCTCGCATGCCCGCAGAGAGGGCTCCGTGTGCCACATGTGGCACATGTGCCATAGGTTTGCCATCATGGATCTAGGACCAGAGAGCAACTGCTAAGCTTTGCTGAGTTCATTCTTAGACAAGGAGATTCTACTTACAGAAAGAAGCAAATTTAGCTAGTTTGATATTGTAGTTCTAATAGTAAATATTTTCAATGAAATCATTTCACCACTACCAAATTGCAAGACTGGATCAACATGCTGGTTCTCATCTCCGCAATAGCATTGCTATGCAAGATACGTGATACAATCTCTTTATGCTCAGTATTCCCCACCCTTCATCCCTGAGGTTGGGTGAAGGAAGAAATGAACAAGAAAATGCTGACTAGGATGGCATCACAACTTGTTTAATTAAGTATTATTGTGTATCTTTCAGAAGGCGGCCCAGGAGCAGCTATGACAAGCGGTTGCAAGTCTGCTGACGGCTCTGAGTTACATAGTCCATTCTTATCCCATTTCTGTTCATTGTGGTTCTTGCAATCTTATTCAACAGTCAAAACAATTCAACAGACATCTTTAATTTGTTTTTGGGATTAAGATATTCCAGCTCCAAATTCTCAGTATAGTGATAGTCGTGATAATGTTCTGCGCACCCAGCAAATTGTTCTGAAACTTATCTCACTGAATTAAAATGAACATATTGGTAGAAGAGTAGGGTTCACCCATTATGTGAAGCCATAATAGCAATAACACTTAGACTTATAATCATATGCTTTGCAGCATTCTCTGAGCAGTTTACAACATCAGTGTATTGCTCCCAACAACCTCTGTCCTCATGTTACCAACCTCGGAAGGATGGAAGATGGAGTCAACCATGAGTCCCATCAGAATCGAACTCCTGGCAGTGGATAGAGTCAACCTGCAATAATGCATTCTAACTACTGCACCACCATGGTTCTGTAACATGCTTTATGGAGTTTTGATTTATGTAAACCAAGACACTATGGCTTGTAAAACATCTTGCTGTGTATATGTATTCACAGACATTATATTGTTACAATAAACCATAGTATGTAGACCAGGCAATGTGTAATATGCATGGGAAAACAAAAGAAAGAGAGATGCATCAAGAGCTCCTTCCTTTGGATCAACAATAGACATATCATCTGCAATTTATTTCTGAACAATGATTCATGAATGTGCTTTATATGCATGCTCATTCTGTGCATAATTACCATTTGTTTGATTTATGCCCTGTTTTTCCTACAAAAGCTCAAACTGGCAAACACAGTATTCTCTGCTTGATTGCCCCACACCAACAATCATGAGAAAGGATTAATTATATCAGCCTGACCAATTTTACCAAACCAGCTTTTACACCTCAAGGGTGGACTTGAATTGAGTCTTCTCAACCTTGTCTAACATCTTATTTGTTTAAAGTATAAGCCAGTGATGGGTAACCTTTTTCTCCTTGCGTGCCAAAATTGCACGTGTGCGTGTGTGCCCACACCCATAATGCAATGTGCCCCCCATGCATGCCCGCACGACCCCCCGTATTCCCCCTGCCCCACCGCACATGTGCGTGATCTCCCCTGCGTCCCCCCCCCCAAGCATGTGTGTGACAAAAAAAAAACCTGCACCACATTTTGGGCATACTAGTCCTCCCTGAAGCCTCCTGAAACCAAAAAACGGGCGCTAGGGGGGTGCCTAGCTCTAGGTTCACCATCACGGGTATAAACCATCTTGTTGTCCAAGCAAGTCTTAACCATACCTCTTCACATGTAGAAGCATTATGCAGAAAGGATTAATTTAGACCTCTAGACACACACAAAATATCTTTGGCAGATAGGTGGAACTATTGAATACAATACGGTAGTTCCAGTGGCCATTAGGTTGAAAGAAATCCTCTATGGTCCCCCCCCCCCCAAATGTTTTAAAAGCAGATTCTCCTACCTTCCTGGACAAGTTCATTGGCTGTCCCAACTCCTTGTTCTATGAGCTTCTGGCACTCATCCAAGGGCTTGATGCTTTCCTGTTCTATGTTGTCTACTTCCTGGAGCAAGGAGGCCAATCTTTCATCCAGCAACTTTTTCAAGGTCCCTTTTAAGTCACTGAAATGTTGTTCCAGCACTTCCCGGGTTTGTGCAGCACTGTTTTTGATCTGAAGGGAGACAAAGGAATCTGTAAGGCCTTGAGGGAGAATGGCTCAAAGAAGGCTCTTGCCACACTCAATTTGCTAGCAAGAAGACTGCTCAGCCTCCTTGATCTTATCAACCACTTCACGTCAGGTGAATTCAACGTATCTTGGACTGAATGGGTTTGCTTCACCAAACCATGGCCTCATAAAGTAACTGAAGAAAATCAGATTCTTCCAAAAATTCTACAACCCTACAAAAGTCTGAATTCTTTCGACTGTTTCCTCCAACTGCCTCCTTGTTTATCACATGAAAAATATTCACAATTATAGCAGTAAGCTTTTTCTATAACAGCCTTGCTGTAACCCACCATTTTCAAGTAATAAAGGTCAGATTAACATTTTAAGCTTAGAACCAAATGAACCACTTTTGGGGGTTTGCACGATGTGTGAATTCAGCCATAAAATTAAGGTCTTTTGAATGTATGCAACTTGCTCGAGCCAAAATATATTTAGGACTGCCAAGTATGCAAAAATTTTCATCTGCATAGTTTTAATATTTTAATAACTTTTAATCTTTTTATATCTGTTTACTGAAACAAGCCACAGAATTAATACAACTTAGGCCTGGAATTAGGAAATTTTAGCATTCCAGATGTTGTTGAATTGCAACTCCCAACATCCCTCACTACTATTGTTCTAAGATGCAGTTTAACAACTTTGGCAGTGCCATGCTTTAAGCCAGGAGTCTCCAAGCATGGCAACTTCAAGACTTAGGAACTTCAACTCCCAGAATTCCCCAGCCAGCAAGTCTTAAAATTGCCAAGTTTGGAGATCTTTCACTTTAAGCTATAAATCATGGTTTATACATCACAACAGCTGTTACTTGCATCCCAAAATCCCCTCCAAATAAATCACATTTTAGCTTGGCATGATGCCGGATTCCAGATGTTTCTCCTCTCAATATTAACTCAAGAAGCAAACAGATAATGCAGAGTAGGAAACAACAGGGAATGAATTCCAATAATACTTTAATTTCAAAACAAGTATTTTGAAGTAATTTTTCGTTATTGTTTGGAAAACATCTTCCAGAAAGAATGTCTATCCTAGAGTCAGTTCCAGGTTCCCACAGGCTCCTTTAGATCCAGTCTAGCAAGGCCAGGTTCTCATGACATATAAACCACAGGAACGAGTTATTGTGCATTTCTCGTGGACCAGAGTTAGCCTTGAACTCAGTACAGCTTCAGATGAAATCAGAACTGAAACCTCCAAGAAAGCAATGCTTCAAAGTCCAACTTTTGCAAATCCAAAAAAGGAGCCGTTTTAAAACTCATGTTAACCTCCAAGTCTAATTAATGGACCACACTCGGTTGGGAAAAGGGAGGGAAAGATTGTGGCCCAAGTATCGGCCTTCACTCTTTCCTGTGGCGTAGCATCTAATGCCAAAACAATTTAAAAGTAAGGAAGCAGATTTCATAGTGTGAGACTAGGCTGAAGCAGCCATACCTAAAGATAAAGCAGAAATATAAGCAGAGTCTATGCCAGGAATCAAGAGATAGGTGAGAAGCAGATAGATCAAATCCATTAAGGAAACAAAGGAAAAATATCACCTGGAAAGAAATTGGGCCTAAGCATGATGGGAAACTCTCTCCCCAAATCCCATCAACAGCTACCAAACTTCAAAATCAAGTCAAGTGGAGCTGCCAATCTTGAGAATCAACAATGTGAGGATTTGGGGGGATAAAAGGCATCCTGAAGCCAGCCCACTCTTTGAGTCATCTTTGGATCTCAGCTTGGTGGCTTCCATCCTTCTGGCTAATACCTAGTTGAGAAGGACACAGGTAAGTGTGTGTGTGTGTGCATGTCAGAAAGAGCAAATGTATAATGCAACCAGTAAAATTTTGGTGTTATTTTAAATTCACTAGATCTCCTTGTATTAAAAAAAAAAAGGGTTGTGCCTCAGGGTTGGATTGAAAGTAATTTGAGAGTGGCTGCCAAACCTGTGAGTGTGTGAGTGAGTGACCATAAATCAAACCTAGGAGTACAGGTAACAATAACATGTATATCTGAAAATGAGTCAGGTTTTTTTCCCCCCAGATGTTTATCTATGGACCTGATATAACTTAGTGCAAAAAGGCCATCATGCAGAAAGAATACACATTAAGCTGCTTTTCTTACCATTTGGAACTTCACCAGCATGCTGTGTTGCTATCACAAAATGCCTACAAGGATGAATAATTGCAACTGCAAAGTTTTCTCCCCATTGACTGTTCTGGATACATTAACTAGACTGTTCTACATCTACAGCATCTCAACTTATAATTGTCATTTTATCTGAGCAGTCATTCATCATTCCCCTCCAAACTCAAAGAACGCCTAGAGTAGCAGTATCCAACCTTGGCAACTTTAAAACTTGTGGATTTCACCTCCCAGAATTCTCCAGCCAGCTAGCCTATTGTGGCTGGGGACTTCTAGGACTTGAAATCCACCGGTCTTAAAGTAGGCAAGGTTGGACACCCCTGGCCTAAGAGGATATATGTGGGGCTCTGGATAAAAGAAAAAAATAAACATACTGGAATGTACTTAAGTGTCCTGCAACCTGAAAAGTTTTCATATATCTATTTTTTTTTAAAAATTGAAGGAACCTAAACAAAATCAGAGCGTGTACAGAAGTGCAAAGGCAGGGCATGTCAGCATCATAAGGTTTAGTCCATTTTAAAAATTCTGATTAGGAAGGAAATAGTCATGAAACGTTACAAGGAGGAAAAGAATGAAAAGCTGAGCAAAACCAACCAGAAGTAGCTCCTTGATCTCTTTTAAGTACTAACAAACAACCCAGGATACATTGCATTGGTCAGGTTATGCAAAACTGACTTCCTCTTTATGTCACACTTGTAAGATTTTGTAGTCCCTCTGCAGTTAGTTTTGTTATTTCAAGTCTCCATGACTCAAAGAAGGAAGTCTATGCCTCTGTACGTTAAAAAAAAACCCACAGAGGTGGCAGGAAAGATAAAATAATTATGTTCTCTTTTTTTTAAAAAAATGAATCTTTAAGTCTTGAAAGAGAGACTATGAAACGGGTGCTAGGAAGGGTGGATATTAGAACCCCTGGAGGACTCACTGGGGACTTAGATCTGGACTGCATGAATTTAAGTCTTCACACTGTGATGGATAAATAGAGCATCACATAACAAAAGCTATAGGTTTGGGCATGTATGACAGTGGCATTCTGTAGGAGTGGGAGAGAAAAGTACAGCTAGGTTTCCTTTCTCTCTAATTGCTATCAATCCCTGTCCCATTGCTACGGAGCATCAGCAGAAGACATTAAGGAGCAAGTTGTGATTGGAGCAAGTATGAGGATGCAGGAATTAGTCGTAATGAACTGGACTACAATGCAGAGATAGGACTAAAGTTAATGGAGGAAGAACAACCAAAGTTATGCTAGCAACTGTGATCAGGATCTTATTGATCTACACTATGATTATCATCCGAAAACACATGTATGTATTCATACTATGCATGTATGTACATATTCTTCCTAGAGGGCATGGTGGTCTATAGTTTAAGAAACTGGTCTTGACAACCAGAAGGTCGGCAGTTGGAGACCTGAGCGCTCTGCAACAGGGTGAGCTGCCATTACTTGCTGCCACTGTTGCCAACCTAGCAGTTTGAAAGCATGCAAGTGTAAGTAGATGAATAGGCACCACTTCAGTGGGAAGGTAACAGCATCCTGTGTGCCTTGGCATGTAGTCATGCCGGCCACATGACCACGGAAACATTTTTGGACAATGTCATCTTTCTTGGCTAGGAAACGAAGGTGAGCACCGCTCATAACTTGACCAGAGAAATCTTTACCTTTAACACTACTCTTCATAGATGACAAGATAATGATTAAGAACAGGATGCCAATTGGCATCATGGAAGAAACTCTTTGTAAGTAACCAGAATTGAGACAGGTCACATTTATAAACATTCTAACATTCTTCAATTCTCTCTGATTTTTCATCTTCTGCTTACTGCAAGTGATTGGCACTTAATTACAAAACTTTGAAAAGTGTCCTGACATGTCATACAATTGATTAAAACTACTAGTACTAGTGGTTTTTGTGTGTTTTTGCATGTAACACTAAGACAAAATATATGTGCAGTCTTAAAAATGAAAATCCAGAATTTCAACTATCCTTAACACCAACCTTGATCAATCAGTTGGTAAAATTATAGAAGATAAAGATGACTCAAGACTGACTCCTGGTGATTTCATAACACATCCAATTTTCTGGCAGCAGTACAGAAATTATTTGTTTCCAATCTCCTCTCTGTTTTTATTTAACCTTTTGGCCTATCTGTAGCCTTGAAATTCCTCAGTGGTTTTCCATCCAAGTATAAACCACTCTGATAGAAAATATGATACTCAGATTTTTTTCTGTAGACTGATTTGCTCAAATTGGAAGGATATGCTCACACATCATACTCAAAATACAAATAGAGCCTTATTATTGAAATGTAGACATGGATATATAGGTAGTTCTCAACTTAGGATCACAACTGAGCCCAAAATTTCTGTTGCTAAGGTAGAGAGTTGTTAAGTGAGTTTTGCCTCATTTTACAACCTTTTTTGCCACAAATGTTAAGTGAATCGCTGTTGTTATTCAGCTAGTAACACGGTTGTTATGTGAATCTGGCTTCCCCATTGACATTGTTTGTCAGAACGTCGCAAAAGGTGATCATATGACCCTGGGACATTGCAACCATCATAAATATGACTCAGTTTCCAAGCGTCTGAATTTTGATCATATGATCATGGGGGTGCTGCAATGGTTGTAAAGTGAAAAACAGTCAGAAGTGACTTTTTTTTCAGTGCCCTTGTAACTTTGAATGGTACTAAATGAACCATTGTAAGTTGAGGACTATTTGTAAATGATTATAAGAAACTTTTACAGTGACTGGAAGCGGATGAGTGATGCCAGAGAGGTTAAGGCTATCTGCAGACACAGTATGCATTCTGATACTGATATTGAAATAAAAGT